CCAAATTTTCTAACTTCATTCTCACTAACAGGTACAGCATTTTCAGTAGCAATAGGTGTTTCTTCAGTTTTTTGAATTGATTGTGAATTATCTGTTGGTAATGTGTCTGTAACTGTTACTGCGGTAGGTGTTTGACCAGACTGACAAGTTGTTATTCTATAATTAATCTTTGGAGTTTTTATTTGTTTATCTGGTGATATATTCATTGTACTCAAAATTTCAGCCATAGCTTTAGTATTAATACCACAATTATTTGCTACGTTTTTCTGGCATCTCTTGTGAACATTTATATTACAAGCTACATAAGCAAATATCAGATTCAGGTATTAGTTGTATATCTATACATATATATATATATAATAAATTTGATTTATTTACCTTCGCATTGTAAACCTTGTCTAAATAAACCATACAAGAGTGAGCCACAATGGTCACAAAATGTAAATCTCTTGTAATTGTGAACAACAAAACGGTGTGGCATATCTATACTGAAACGTGGACTTTCTGTATCTTGACTTGACTGAAATTCAATATTATTGAATCAATCAATTTAATTTTTTAATGATAAATAAGTTCAATTACAAAAATATACTATAAATTACATTTACCTCATCTCTCATGCCTGGGCATTTTGTGATAACCAACTTGTGACATCTTTTGTGAACTACACATGTGCAGACTGAAACATAATAAAATCTAATTGAATGTTTATATTTTTTAGTACAGATGACTTTCAGCATAGCATGACCCAAGCTGGGATCATCTGTAAGCTGTCATCTGTAAGCTGCATGCGTGATTAGACGCACTGATTTGAAATGACAAGCATAAATAAAATTTGATGGATGTTGTGATAGTCTTGCCATAGGAACAGTATAAGCTTGAACATTGAAGACAGAATATAAATTCTAAGGATGCGATAAAATGAAATTATTAGAATCTCCTGATGATTTGTTACATTTTATTTAAAAACATGCAATGAAATATTTCCCCACTTATAACTATGTTAAATCAGAGCTAATATAATTTGCAAAAACTTGATTGATGTGTTATGAACACTATTTTATTTTCCAAATTTCATTAAAGAAAGCATAGCATCAGATATTGAGCCATGGGCCAAATTAAACATTGAAAATTTGAAAATTTTCAAACTGAATCATGAATTTTTAATTATTCTAAATGATTTGATTTTTTATAAAGAACTAAGTACACATACACACACCTAGATAAACATATGTTCACACAAAGGTAGAGCAAGCAAATATATAATTATAATATTTGTTAATAACGTGTATGTGTCTTCTCACCTTGACACTGATAGCCCTGCTTGCCCAAGCCCCTGAAATACAACAGACAAAACACATCACATCATCTCCTTATATACCCTCATAAAACACATACGTATGCTTTCTTGGGCCTTAAACCATAATTAGACATTTATATTAATCTTTTAAAATTGATTAGAAAGAATATTAAATTTGTATTTCTGTCTTAGATGTTTTTAGTTTCTTAAAAATAATTTAATATTATATTATAAAATTTCTATTCACAAACATAAAAATATCAATTCATAAGAAATTTTACCAAACAATAGTTATAGTATATGCTTGCAAAACCAATGCATGCAACTTATTATTTAATTGAATGATTTATTTCAATAAAATATATAAGACATTAAATGATTGTTATTGTAAAAAGAAAAAAAATGGAATGTTTTAAAGCTTGAAAGTTAAAATATTTAGAATATTTGTTAAATCTCCATTTCCTTATTCCAAATATTATATATTGATATTTTTTAAACTAAATTCAAATTAAAAAAAAAAAAAAATATTTTAAATAATATTTTAAGAAATATTTTTAAATGTTATATAGTGCTATAGTATATTCTATAAAATCAAAAACCCAAACATGCAAATTTTAACACTTTTAAAATTATCCAAAATACTAAAATCCCATAATTAATCTGGTGTGCATAAATTTATTAGGTTTTAATGTAAATTACCTGAAATTAATATAAGTGAAATATATAAAATATACACACCAAATTAAATATATAACACTTCATATTATGAAATGATTATTAGTAAATGTTCTGAATTAGTGTTAGAGTATGCTTGTGAATTAAATTCTAAAAGCAATATTAATATATTTTTGTTAAAACACATACCATATGAATTCACGGCAGTGAGAACAGAAAGTTGGTTGCCTCAGGAATGTAGCCATAAATTTGTGACCATTTGCTTGATGAACCTTACGTCGCATGGCACCTCTTCGATGCCGAATGAAACCCTGCCTTTCTTTGAATTCTCTTCTGGGTTCTTTCCCAGATGTGATGCTTCCACCACCTCTGCCTCCGATTCCTTCTCCATCACCTGTACCACAGCCTGTTTGTTGATCTAAAATTTTATTATGAAAATATATCCTACATATAATATTTTTAAGTATTACCTGTGCCTTACCTTGATTATTCCATATTAAATCAATCTTGACTCTTAACTTTCCTTGAGGTTCAAGGTCAACCTAAAATAAATTTTATATGATAATTTATGATAATTAAGCTTATTATTGAGCAACAAAAAAATGTTCATATTAATATTGTGCTATTCATATTATATTAATTCAAATCTCATTTTATATAATATTATTATATAAATATATATATTATATAAATATATATAATAAACAAAATGTTTTTAATTAAACTTTAATAAATTATATTTTTTTAATGATACTAAAGTTAAAATCAGTTAAATATATTACATTTTTATATCCTGTACACATTTGCAACATTTTGAAGAAACTAAATGTTGAATATTAGTTATCACGTGTTTTAGATCTAAGAAATATTTATCATCTATCTTTCTTGGTTTCTGTTGACATAATCTTATCAGACTACTTTGAATTGTACTATAATGTCATAAAAAAATTATATACATATATATAGATTACATGTTGCTTTTCTACTACACATATCAATAATAATTATAATATCAATATAAAATTAATATGAATTGATTAATTACAACTAAACAGAAATTAGGAATTGAAATATAGAAACATACATGTATAAATATAAAAATTAAAATAAGAAAATAAGAAATAATTTATATTTTGTAACTCTGGTGAAGAATTTAATAAACATAATGTATTAATGTATATAAAAACTAGAATAATTGTTCAAAACCAACCCAAAGATCTGCAGTCTTGTCATTCCTGCTGACAAGTTCCTCGAAAGGAATACTACAATTTGCGACGAAATAATCTGGCGGTAATGCCGCATCGTGGAAGACAGTGAGTCCGAGGTTCACCGCATCCTGAACTTCATGGGTGAAACACTCGTTCCATACTGGATCAAAGGTTTTTGGTTTAGTGGATGAACGATCAAGATGATTTTCATCGACATCCAATTGAACGTAAGGATCAAGTATAGGTTCATCTTGCCAAAACTTGCGTTGCTTGTCCGTCGCCCTTAGTCCAACTGCCTCGCATATTTCAATTTTCACTGTCCCCGTGAACATCGCGAATTAAATGCACCACACAATATTATTAAGAAAAAGAGGACAGCGGACGGACGAGACAGTCGACGGGCTGTCACGCCTGTCGACAAACTGACACTTCAAATTGTGCGATCAGGTTATCCAAAATCGAGTCAATTACCCGAGTTAAGTAGATCACCGAATCACCGTTGTGATTAACAATGAGTTAACGGTAAGAAACGATCGCAGGAAGGTTCGATATATGTACTGTATCAAAATCTCTGAAATAATTTCACAAATATATTCCCGCGATAAATACGATCTTCCGTAGATATGTGTGGCGCACCGCTTCAAATATTCCGTCCGAGCCTTTGACTTTCCTTTCCCTCTCACTCGCACGCACACTCTCTTCACTATTTCTCTTTCTCCTTCTTTCTTTCTTTCTTTATCTTGCTTCCAAATTTCTTCCCCTTCTCTTTCTCCTCCTCCCTTTCCCTTTCCCTTCGTCACCGCCACCAGCACCGTACAGTTATAAACACTCGAATCTCTTCACGTTCACACATAACAGCCACAGAAACAGATGCAGAATTGGCGATGGCAGCAACAGGAGTTTGTCAAAACCGAGACATAAAGGAGGTAGATGCAGGATTAGCAAACGACAAGCAATGCTGTTTATTGCGAGACGCCCCGTTCGCGAGTGCAAAGTCTGTCCTTGTATTTCTGATCTCTTAAGAGCCATTAAGCTCCTCTTCTTTTCTTGAATCTTATTCTTCGTATTTTTCCTTTTCGTACACTGAACGGTTCTGAACACAATTTGCACCACAAAAAATTTTGTACCACAATTTATGAAAAAAATGATTTATCACGGATAAGCAATCATTTACCGTCCCTAGACAGCCCACCGACCCGAACCGCTCGATTGGTCACTCCGCGCTTCGTCTAAAGGGAGACTCGATCTCGGCCTCGAATACCTTTCGGAATATTTCGTGCGTTTCCGTCGAAAGCTCAGGCTGCGTTTTCACCCGCACGGTCTGAATCGTTTATGAACTACATTCGATTCATTATAGATTCTTCGGCATTCTTTTATATTAATATGCTATGTGTTGCGTAAATAAAAATAGATGAATATGTAATTTTTCGTTTATAAATTATATTATTTACTAATATTCTAAAATTAAATTGCATGAGTTTGTGGAATAAGTAGAAATACCAGAATGATGCGTAGCCATTTGATTGGTGGATGTCTGGTTAAGAAAAGCGCACTTCTACTTACAAACTCCAGCATTTATTGAAAGATTCAAAACTATTTAAAAATCGTATTCTTTTAATCAAAATTTATTGATCAAAAAAAAAAAAAATCGCTTACTTTTTATTATCATAGAATATCATCACAAAATTAAAGAATCATTTCATATATCTATATATCAAGTTAGAAAGTGGAGATTTAGGAATATAAATTTTTAATTTTTGATTGGGTTGATCTCGCATATGCTGTAACGATTTAAATATATTAATAACACTGACGAATAAAGGAATTTCCGATCTTTATTGAGCTATATAAATAAACGAACACACAATATGAGTCTAATATTTACACCCATGATATACATATAACACAACGATATCCTTGCGTTTCTTCTTCAGGCTAGGACATTTTTGCGTTAGTAACTCTGATACGTTCGAGACGAAACAGAGATCCGCGAAAAAATTAAATTGTTCTAAATAAGAACTATTGTTCCTCGACAGCAGACCGAATCTCTTTCTTTTTTAGTTCCCTTATAAAAATCGCAGTTACATGTTATATCCTATATCGTGGATTAATTACGTGATATCCACAATGAAGGAAATATCAATCTATTCGGTCGACCATCGATTCTAACAATTGTAATGCATCTTGTATTTAAAGAATAAATATTTCATCGAAATATGAAAGGAATTACGTAGACGTAATTTCGATCATGACTATATTCGCGGATAACAATGATCTACGTATTTAATTCTTAATCTGTTCTATGTGCCGACCACCACATCCGACGTACTCTCTTGCACTTCGGTAATATCCTTCTTCTTCTCTTCCTGCTCTATACTCGATATTACATACACTGGTTGCTGGTACGCAAGAAAGTGTTGATCTGCGGCTAATGTTTTAGATGGATCTTTCATTTTTATCTGAAATAAACAATTATTTTTCATTGGTTTTATTAATTTTTTATTTATTTAATATAAAATTTTTTATTAAATTTTATTTATTTTAAGAAAAAAAATTTTTTTTAATAAAAAAATAAAAAATAAAATAATAACTTTATATTTAATTAAAATTTAGAATATACCTTTTTACGGTATAACATTAATAAAATGAGCAAACTGCTAATTATAAAAGCACTTCCTGCTGCTAAGACAAGAGTGGCTGTTTGATAAACAGGTGTTTCTACTTCCGTGAGAATTTCCCGTTGTTCCAATGCTACAATTCTACTTTGCATAGCCATTGGGGGCGATCTATGTGTGAAACGAGAAGTAGTTGCATCCGCAAATGATCCCAACATAGAGAGCTTCTGTATTCTGGTTAATTCTTCCAAATGAAATGCCACATCTACTTTATTTGGACCTATTACTTCGAAACTTAGTATAGCTGAGTCTTGATTGATTTCCACCCGTATATCGTTTTTTATTCTAGCGCCTAAATCACGAAGAAGATCCTCCGTTTGTCTGATAAGCGTTGTTTCATCATCGGCAAGAAATCGACCGGGGAAACGTAGAGTAATTTCGACAGCTTCTACTGGAGTTGGTACTATATTTAAAAAAAATATATATATATATATATTTTCATTTTATTTTTCAATTATTTTATTGAATTATTATTATTAGAATTATCACATATTATTTTATATTGAATTGTTTAGATTGATAAAAAAATAATAAATCAATACAAAAGATAAAAAAGATATCATATCTTACAGCAAATATTCGTTCCTTTCAGGAAAGGCTCTGATCCTATGAGTTGATTACCCGCTTCATCAACACACCAACATGTATCACCAGCACATTGCATCGGCTCAAACCTACCCTGACGATCGCAAATTGCCGGGACGTGACCTTTATCCTTCATCGCCTGACATCTCGTACCCAATACTTTCCCAATTTGCTTCTCGTCGGTTTCCAAGTTAATTAGAGCATTCTCCATGAATGCCTGAATTTCACGGTCGATTTCTTGAATTATCGGCCCCCTACCTCCTCGTCTCGCCTGCCTAAAGTTACACTTCGGTTCAGGTGCTCTAGTAAGCGAACCTTTCATTGGCTGACCCTTTCCGTTAACACACCAGCAAACACCGACATGTTCCAAACACTGTACAGGCTCCCACATACCATTCTCCGAATCACATCTGGGTAAAAATGTCGGTTGCTTTAATCTTTGAGAGGTTTTCAAATTCTTCTCTCTAAGTCGTTCGCATTGTGACAACACAGGACATACAGTGTCACATACTAAACGGCTAGAGAAATCATTATGACCCAGTGTACATTCAGTTTTTATCCTGCATTCGTTACGTTCCGGATCAAAGTACCATCTCTCGGTCTCGTTCAAACCCATTCCTAAATTACACGATACTTTTCGCGGTGGTTCGAAACAAACCTCGCGAGGTTTTGGACAGCATACAGCGTATTCGTCCAAAGGAGACAATTCACACTTGTGCGTGGATGGACAGTGTTGACCGTGTGGCCCACAAATTGCTGGAGAACTATTTTGATCTAACAGAGGAGATCCATTCGGACATGGATTATCCTTTTTTGGTAAACAGACTGGTACAGGGGGACATGGTGGTACGCTACAAGCTACTTCAACCATCCTACAAGCTTCATTTTCACCCCGACAAGTCACACTTTTGCAGGGATCTCGACAGGAACATGTTGGACAACCGCTATCGGGATCCAATTCGTATCCATCGGAACAGTCCAATTTGCAATCAATTTCCGGGCATCTGAGCGGCGTGTTACACTTTGGCACTATTCCCTCAAGAACACGAGTACCTGCCGCCTCTCTGCCCTCCTTATCCACACACCAGCACATCCTACTATGGCATTGAACTGGTTCAAATGCTCCGTTGGTGTCACATCTGGGAATGTAAATTCTTCTGGCTGGCTCTCCGGATTCTCTGGCGGCGTGTTCCGCTACTGCACGTGCATGTTGACAAGCGGTAGCCATCACAGGAGCTACACATTGTGTTCCACAACCCGTAGAACAACATTTTTCTGTAGCTGAACATTCTTGATCATTGCTACATTGTAGCTCGCAACTTGACGAACTTGGTACTAAATACGGACACTGGCCCGGTTTGGTAGCCAGACAGGCTGGAACCGCTGGACAGTGTTGTCCTAATCCGCAATTCACGTCGACTATCGTGCAAATTTCGTGTGGACTACATGAGACGTCTTTGCAAGGATCGTGACATCGACACTGTTCGCAACCTGTCGCATCCACCTCGAAACCGTAAGGACATGCCAAGTCACAGGACAGAGATCCGCACAACTTGAGAAGATCTTTTATCTCTTTGCAATCGCTGCTACGGTTCACGCTGCTTTTTAGAACAACACCGCGATCATTCACGCAGGAACAAGTACCGTTGTGGCATTGCAAAGGCTTATAACTGCCATCTTTTTCGCATTGAGGCGGTGGAATTGCTAGAGACATGTCCTCTCTGGTTCCTTCCATACGTTCGTTGAATTCCCTCAAGTATTCACACACTGAAATAATTTAATAACATTGGTGATTTATGTTTCATTTTTTCTGATCTCTCTAATATTAAAATTTTTTTTTTTTTTTTTTTGCTTTAAAGAACATCTTACTAGTTTGCGTTTTTGTTGAATTGGCTGACGTCATGCAACATACTGATTGTCCAGCTTCCGGTACAACGATGCATTTGTAGCCTTGGGGACATGTGTCATTCTTAGAACAGGTTACTGCGTTCCGTTCATCATCGATTAAAGGAGTTCCATAAACACAAGGACTTTGGTAAGTTTTCTTCGGTTTACATTCCGGTCTGGTTGGGCAGAGAAAATCCGGACATCCGTCTTCACGATGCAAAACGCATTGTTCACCTATTGGACATGGAAAACTAGAAAAAGAAAAATAGCAAATTGAAATTATACGAATTTATTATTTAAAACATTATATTTAAAGAAATATATGATTATACATCTACCCTTCGCAAGGATTGTCACATTCGCAAGTCGGACATCCGGAAGCATCTGTTTTGAATCCATACTGGCACACCTGAGCGCACTGTTGCGAAACGCAGGAAGCCGGAAGGGACCTCCCTTTCATTACCGATTTGCAATCTACTTTATTCGCGGGCCCCATGGTACCGGATATTTTTCGACCATTGTTATCCACGCACCAGCAAACCAGACCGTTCCTTGAGCATTGTCTACTCTCGTATCCTCCATCTAAAATATTGAAAAAAATATTATCCAATATAAAAAGAAGCCATTTAAATTATAATAATCTATCAAATATCATTATTCAATCAATTAATTTAATCAAAAGATTTACTTTCTTATCTTAAGATCTTACCTTCAGAGCATTGAGGAACGTATCCACGTCCCTGCCTCTCAGAGATACTTAGCATCTCCACCAATACCCGATCTCTGTGGCAAGCACTCAATCCTTGCGGCACAGAACAAACACCACCGCCGCATTTCTCGCTCTTGCAACATTTCTCAGGACCAGGGCACTCCAAGTCGTGTTGACACGTGTTACCGCATATCGCAGCCTCCTCTAACGGGCACGTTCCAGGCCTCTTCAAATTAATGTTCGATGGACAACAGACACCGTACTCCTGCTTCGGCTCAACCAGGCAGCTATACATTGGCGGACAACTCGGTTTACCCGGTTCATCGCCGCAGAGAAATGGCCTAGGTGAATCTGTGATCTGTAACGGTTCCCCAGCCGGACATATCGTGGACAATGACTTTGCTTTGCGACAACTAGGAATTGGCGGACACGGTGGACGGGCACACGTTGCATCGATCAACACGCACGTTTGACTGGTTCCTGGACAGGTGATCCCGCGACAAGGATCCCGGCACTCGCATTTAGGGCAGCCAGTTTTCGGTTCGATCTGTATTCAAGGGAATGATTAATGAACCGAATCAAATTATCTGTGCTCAAGAGCGTATAGATTTTACAGAAAGAATGACATGAATGGCTCTAGAAGAAGGTTATAATAGAAGAAATACTTAATTTTGATAATATTGATATTTATCATGTTGTAGATTGAAGGCTTACTTTTCATATATAGAGTGTTAATATATTTGTGGAATATCTTTGAAGGTTAAAATAAAAATTGTGCAAATCGATTGAAATTTATTTATAAATTATAAGCAATTTAAGACGGGAACAAAATATAAAAAAGTATACGAAGATAAAGTTGTTTTTTTTACTTCTAATGCAAATTCTTATATCAACTTTTGTCTTTAAAACCATATATATCTGTCAAATAGGAAGAATTCTACAATAATTCCGAATATTTTCATTTATAAAAGATCTTTATAAAATAATAATTAGCCAAGGGAAAGATCTTTTTTATCAAAAAGATTAAAAGTCACTTCAATTATTTCGAAATTTATTTTAAAAACTAACCTCAAAGCCCAATACGCATAGCATTCGACAGGTATGCGCGGGACATTCTCGAGGATTGTCGCAATCGATCACGTCCATAGAGTTTCCCCTGGTGCCCGGGATCTCTACGCCGATCTCGTCCACGCACCAGCATTGCTTTTCCCGTGGGTCGCATTGTATCCTCTCAAATTCGCCTGTCTCGTTGTTGCACTTTGGTATAAATTGCGCGGGTCCACGTGGACCAAGAGCACGAGATCTTCTCACGGCTGCCTGCGCCAGCTGTTCACATCCTGTCAACTCACCGTTGACGCATTTTGTTCCGCAAGCTGTCTTGCAGCAACGTTCACCCGCTGACTGACACTGGAAGTCATTTTCACAAGTTGGTGCCCTTGCCGGACATACATTTTGCTCCTCGAAGGCTGGGCATCGACCTACTGCCTTCAGTGATGGTTCTGTAATAAAAAGAATATAAAAGATTGCTTTTCGATGTGAAAGTAATAAAAAATGACATACATATTGCTTTAATATATAAAGCAAAAAGAAAATAATATATATTTTATTCTTTGAAAAAAAAATCAAAGTTTGTTGCATTTATATATCTGTTGTATTTTATTTGTTTTAATAATAATAATAGAATGTAAAATTAATGTTATTTTATATCGATATATATTGATACAAAAATGAACAGATAAATAAATTTGTGGAGGAATAGATATAAGTATGTAAATATAAGATCGAAAGATTTATTCATTGATTTATTGATATCAATTTAATTGATATACAATATCTAGAATTAAAAATTACATTCTAAGTATTATTTAATATCTCATATTTGAAAAATAAATAAATTTTTCCATGTACCTTTTCCATTAATTAATCACAGCAAATCAAACTAAATAAAAGGAAATCCTCCAATGAGATCAATTTAAACCAATTACTTATTAAAATCTTCTCTCGAGAATATTTGAAGAATGAATAAAACATGGATCGAAAGATCTGTTCATCGGTTTATTAATAACGATATCTTTATCGATTCACATCTCTATTTTCCATTATTCAATAATCTCTTTTATTATATATCTATTATAAATAAATTTTCATATTCCTTTTACTCATTAATTATAAAATGAAAAGAGATGAAAAGAAAAGAAAAATTAACCTCTTAAAAAAAACATGTATTTTAATTATGTCACTTTTGAAATATATATACGATAATCTATAGCAGATATATTCAATATATCCAATAAATTATTATTAAGGATAAATATCTGTTCGAAAGGTTAATCATTTCAAGATAAACAATCAATTATTGTTCCTCAAAATTTTTTTTGAAAGATTTTTTTTTAAGAAAAGAAAAAATATTCCGGAATGTCTACGAACCGATGCAAAGAAGAGGTGTAAAGAAACGGCACACCTTGACACGAATTTATTTGAGCGTGACGGAATGAACATTTGGCGGATCAACCAACGCGGATTCGTCGTCATCCGTGTTATGTACCAACGAGACTTTATAGGTCAGAGTATCGCTGGCGATCTCGCGTACGGGTCTCTCACGGCGCGCCGCTTTCGTTCTCGAGCCGAAGTGTAGCACGACGATAATAATAATAATAATAAAAATAGCCGGACTCGAGGTAACGGTTCCTCGCATCCTACTGCCACACTTTACTCGCCTTACATGCTACGAGCACGTTTCCAGTTGCTTCTCCAACCGCTCGAGGGGACGTTAGCCGTCACACCGTAGGTGGAACACTTGATAGGTAAAAAGGAATGAGGATATAGCATGACCGCGAAATTTGAATGCAACGGAAACTTCGAAAGATTAATCTTATTATATTTGTAAACGAAATAAGTTGTATATAAATATTTTTGAAAATAATAATTATTGCTTAATTTTTTTATTCTAATTTCAATTCGAAATACTTGAAATTTTTTTTTAAATTTTGGAGCAATGAAAAACAATTTAATTTTGAAAACGTTTGTAGAATGAAAATTAGAAATTATTGATTTTTCAAATGTGTTTGATGAATCAAACTTAAGACAATATTTAGATAATTTACACATACTTATTTAATTTAATGAGATTATTGCATTTATTTAAATACTTTAAAAAATAAATATCATAAATTCAGAATTATTTAAGCAAATTGTTCGTTGTTATTTCTTGCTATTGAAAATGATTTCAGACCATTAAAAAATATATTTCTTTTTTTATAAATTTAATATATTTTAATGAACTGAAATCCATTCCAATACTAAACTACTGTCGTGAAATAGTTTCATCGCTTGGTTACTTAATAGGTTAAAAGCACAGCCTCCGGTCACACGATCTTTTTCTTACTAACTCGTCTGAGAACTCGAGTATAAACGTTGGACATGCTTCTGCGACAGCCACGATCCTTTTACAGATAGTCGTGGAACATCTTGGAAGTTGTGTCGAGTAAACGGGGTCGATAGTTGTTAAATCTTTGAGAGAGTAAGTAAGATTGCCCGCTTTTAAAAGTTTGGTTTTACAACATTTAAGTTTGAAGCGTTTGAAGTTGAAACTGTGAGCAACAGTTGAAAGAGCGATAAGTTTTTGAAATAGTTTTAAACTTATTTTATTGTGTAAGATTTGACAAGTATATAAAAAACAAAAAAGTCGATGATAAATTACTGAATTACTTCTAAATAATTTTTAAATTAAAACTTCTAAAGTTAAGAACGAGTCATATGTTTCTCGAAGATATATAATATAATATATTCAATAGTGTCAAAATATAAAATTAAAAATTGGTTCATCGATCATTTCCACGACTTCAGTGTCTAATCAAAAAATTTGGCGTACGCATTTTATGAAAGAAAGCATACATCGCACGTTAATCGACTTTTTATTTTGACTCTATGTATCTGCGCCACGTTTTCACACGTTGAAGATTTCATAAAAGTTTAGTGAAACCCATAGCACATCCGATTACCCGAATTTCCGGTTCGTTGGCCACAGTCCTCTTTCTCTTCGTCCCGTTCTATTATAACCATTTCGTTAATCCTAGTCGCAATACGCGAGTTTCGTTATATTACAACATTCTCGCGATCGAATCTCGTGTTATATATCATTTGGTATTTGTAAAATCGAATCTGGTTTGAATATTTTAATATTTTCAATTCGATGGAAGATTTCTATGTTCTACTTCGATACTTGCAATCGATTAATAGGCTCACATTGATTCAGAATTTTTCTATATTTAGATATTCTGTAAATAGAAAATAAGAGAATAGAATAATAATAAGAATAAAAATAAAAATAATATATATTTTATATTTAATTTCTAAATTATATTAAATATTTTAACATTATTGTACCAATAAATAAACAGTTTCAAAATAAAATATTTAACGTGTAATTTGTTAATCCAGTTAATTTGTTTTAACAGGAAATAACACGATGTATATGTTAACCAACTGCATCATCTCTTTGATCAATCAATTCATTCGTCCAATTTTTATAGAACCTACAAAACAAGTGAAGAATAAAAGTATGTCAAGAATCCCTAAGGACACATGAAAGATGAAGAAAAGATAGAGATGGAGAGAATGTCAAAGACACAGAGAAAAAGAAGAAACGCACACAGTATGGAAGCGGCGAAGAGGAAATGTACACTCCCTTTCAAAAGTCATCTGGTTGCAAATATTTTTTAAACATATTAATGTCTAACATCAATTTGCGAATTTATTTTTTTAACATCGCAATTACAAATTTTTATTAAATATTTATTCTACATCTTTTCTCTAATCTTTCTTTCATTTAAATTGTACAATCTGATAGTTCATAAAAATTTGAAATTAGATAGATCTAAAGAAATTTTTATCATTTTTTAATTAAAAAAATAAAAGTACATATAAAATACACATTTGAAAATGAAACGTTTAAAAATGTTTCTCGAGAGATTTATCTTTCGCAGATGAACGCTCCTTTGAGCGTAACTTTCAATTTATTAGTAAAAAAAAAAAAAAAAAAGAAAGAAAATAATTTAATTTTTGAAAGTTTTACTCTCAAATATATATTTATTAAATTCTAAAAAAATATCGGCAAGAATTTTTCTGATTAACTGTCAAAGCATAAACGATTGATTACCGATCAAACATCGTTTTACAATCATAATAATCGTATTTTAAAATTTATCGTTAACTGTATATAACTTATGAAAGGGAATGTAAGTATTGTACATACGAATGGAAAAACACGAAAGGTATACACGAGGTGGAGGCATGCCGAGTATGGAATGTGTTTTAACGGTGCGAGAGAAATCCAATTCGTTACTCGACGTAGCATGCAAATCGTGATATTTATCCTGTTGTTAACACATTGCGATTAATCGATCCAGAGATTGGACCAATGTCATTCTATTGCCAATTTAATCTGCTAATTAACGTCTCGTTAATTGGTATAGTTTTGGCTAGAGGATGTATCGCGGTATCACCGGTATATAATCCTCGACAAATAATTAACTCATCGATTAGGATGATCCTTCTCATGTCTCGTCGATGTCTCCACATATGCCTAATCGCTTTATGCAACTTTGTTAAAACAATTTAATGTCGGTGTTATGCATGTATGTTCGCTTGCATCGCGTAGGAGTTGCCCTCACGAGGTGATTTAACGACTTTTATACGTGGGGCGGTTGTACGAATGGTTGTCTCATTTATTCGTTACTCCACTTGAGAAAAATGTGAAAAGTGTCTCGCAATGTTCGAATCTTTTATGTTAAATAGGGCGTTGTATATAGTGAAATACGTGGAATAATCTTGAAGATATAAGAAAGATTGGCAATATGAATATTGTGAGAGTATCCTCGACAATTTTGAGATAAAAAAACGATCATCCATCTTTTTCCATTTTTCCATCCTTCTTCATTATTAATCTTCTATCCATACGACTATTTGAACTGTTAAGAAAGAAGCTTGTATTATAACGAGTTCTTTTGATAAAATTAAAAATTTATAATTGATTAAAAAAATAATTCTACTAATTCTATTTACTAATTCCTCTTTTTCATTTCCTTCCAATATTCTAAAAGTTCAATTCGAAGAAAGAAAATTAAAAGAAAATATATTTTCTTATTCAATTTTCCTCTTTGATACCTTACAAAAAGGGTAAACTTCGTATTACGACACTTCGTAAATTCTGTAAATCTTGTTTTCCTACTAGTGGACTAAAGTATTAAAACTTGATTTCCTCTTCGCTAAAGCTGTTTACGATAATCCTTATTCCACACTTCTCCCCTCGATTCGCCGCCCCCGTCACAAACGGGGGAACGAAATAAAATTCAAGAAACGGGGCGAAATATCTTCACTATGACGAGGATTGTTTGAGGAAGGATTGTAAAGAGGATTAGGCGTCTCTTTAAGCGGGCTTAGCTTTTTTCCCGCCGATCGTGGCGGTTTTTTCGCAACGGCCAAGGACGTGTCTACCGGTAAGGACGCTCCTCGAAAATCCGATCACGTCCGTGACGTCGCATTATATGCAGATGCACGTCCGTTTCAAGAGCTTGCTTTCCTTTTTTACTTCTCTCTCTCTCTCTCTCTCTCTCTCTCTCTCTCTCTCTCTCTCTCTCGCTCTCGCTCTCTATTTTCTTTCCTCTCCCCCTTCTCTTTATTTTTTTCTCTCCCTCCCGCACGTCGTCCCCGCCTCGTTGGCCGAACACGGCGCACAGACCTTCTATTGTTTGCTAATGGCCGCTCTTTCGATAATTCGGGACCAATCATTACGGGCGAACGAGCCGGGGCACGACGGCGAGGAAATCGCTGGAAATAAAAAACAAAAAAAAGTAGAAATATAAAAAAAAAGGAAAGGGGGAAAAAAAAGAAGAAGAAAGAAAAAAAGGAGGTGAGGGGGTTGGAAAAAAGAAAGAAAGAAAGAAATAAATAAATGAATGAATGAATGAACGAGAGAGAGAAAGGTGGACGTACCTGCTGTGACCGAGGATGAGAAAGACAGTAACAGCCAGCAGGTCGATGACACCCACACAACGGCACAGGCAAGCCCACCGTTGCAGAAATCACGGCGCATCCTCAGCGCATCAAGTGATTTTTTTTAATCGACCGCTATTTTAATCTGAAATTATCGAGAGAAAATATATGGTACATATACGTATGGATTATGTGAAAATTATATATGTGTATGTATGTGTGTGTATGTGTGTGTGTAACGTTTAGCATACCTCGAATACCCGAATTTCGTATCAATTGGTATTTAGACAATGGATGTTTATGCATTTATGCGTAATTGAAATGAAATATGCATAAAATTCATAGGACGTGTAAAAAAAAAAAAAACACGGGATATTAAAAAAGTATAAATCTTTATTAATTAGTCATGTTTATAAAAATGTTATTTTTAAACGAACATTCGATATCTATCGATATCGATATGGTTTGAAAAATTGTTATAAATTTTATATTGTTTCGTATCAAATTTAGATTTGAATTGGAAATTCTTTCGTAAATTTTAAATCCGTGAATTTTTCACTTGCTCACCGATACTGATTATATTGACTGGATTGTTGGAACTATCGTTGTTCAGAAAGAGGGGAAAAAAAAAAAAAAAAAAAATTTAAATTTAAATTTTAAATCGATTTAATCCTCTTTAGTATTTTTCGTTATTTACATTCAAAATATGAATGAATGAATGAATATATATATATATATGAATTTTGTATCCTTTGTATACGCGGGATTGATAACCTTATTTGAAAAAAAAAAAAAAGATATCGTTAAATCGACAAAAAAGAATCGAAAATTGTTATAAAATTGAATATAAAATTTAAATTCGAAATCAACATAACTCTCTCTCTCTCTCTCTCTCTCAAATTATTTCTCGTTATTTTTATTACAGTTCGACTAATCTAATAATGCAAACAAAATATATTCTATTAAATCTCATTATTGATGGAAATAATCCATATTGATTTTTCGAAACTTTAATCGATTTTTTTCTTTCGCGCCAATTTTACTTTTCATTCATATGTTTAATAATAAATCCAGGATAAAAATGCACGCGCGAGAGAGAAAGAGAGAGAATGATTTGAATTCGAATTTGATTCGAATTGGGATCGAAAAACGCGTATCTCATCGTCGAATGAGAGGCCGTCATCGTGGAAATAATTAATCGGTCCTTCAAACGTTTCAAAGGGGGAGAGAAAGTTGGCGCGCGCGTGATGGAATCAAGATTCGTGGTTAACACATTTTCCTTTTTTCGCGCAGGAAAAGGAGCCATTTCTATTAAACCACCTTAAAAGTTACGCGTTTCGCCGTTTCCAGGGCCAATAAAGCCGGGATTATAGATCCTTAATGGAAAAAGTTTCTTCTCAAAAACCGTGGAGAGAAGTCGGCGGCGATCGAAAGCAACAACCGGGCGGTTTTTCATCTCTCTCTCTCTCTCTCTCTCTCTCTCTCTCTCTCTCTCTCTCTCTCTCTCTTTCTCTCTCTCTCTCTCTCTTTCAAGCGAAATTATAAGAAAAGAAAAATTCATATTCGATACGAGAGATATTTATATTTGCGGTTCGAATAAAAGGATGAAGAGGAAAGTCGAGCCGTGCAATAAAGGAATTAATAATATTCTTTATTATTTACTTATTATAAGAACTTTTCTTTTGCAGATACGTTTAATTTGATATTTTTCCTCCTTCAGGTTAATCTACCTGATCGAATTTCCTTGTTTATTCTGTAATTGTGAAAGAAACTTTTTCAAGGATTTCATTAATATTCTTTTCATTCCAGATTCTATAATTTTCTTACGGTACAATAAAAGAATACAATCTATATTTTTTTATTTTTCTTATGCAATAAGGTAATCTAATTTTATGTCTAATAAATTTTTCACATCTCGACAAAATAACATCAATTTATTCTCACCGCATTGATTAATATTCTCATTTTACTAATATTACGTCTTACGATATCTACAATCTTATTATTTTAACAACAATTAGATTCAATTGTCACTCATTGTCCTCGTTCGCTTTTTCCTTTTTAACGAAATAAAAAAAAAAATATTTCAAGGAACAAACGAATTAGAAAAGAACACATAGGTTGAAATAACGAAGAAGAAGAAGAAGAATGAAATAATTGATGCAATCGTCAACAATAGAACGGTGATGCGGTCAAAAGGGAGTAGTCAGCGTCTAGTGTCGCGATTAATTTTACAGTTCAAGAACGTCGGCTCTAGTTTGTTGCTCTTCCCGCCTCTCCAACAGGCGGACGTAAAATAATCTTTTTAATTCTTACGACCGACCTTAAGTGGCCCTCTTGGAAAACTCGTTGCATCAAACTCGTTGCTCGAATTAGACGCGTGACGCGACGAACTTAGGAATCCTCCCTCTTTAAAAGGGAGAGAGAATAACAATGGAAGTTATGTCTCCTTATTCGTTATGCCGCTGAGAATATTCTAATGCGTTCCTCCCCGTTATTCATGAGCCGGGGTGAGTCGGCTTCGGGATCTACGAATTGTCGGGATACGTTTTCGTTTCTTTTTCCCTCCTTCCTTTGTTCCTCGTTACAACTTCGACGTCGAAGACCTTCCTTCCTCCGCTCCCCTCCTCCTCCCCCTTCCTCTTTCCGGCTCACGGTTATTTTCATCGGTGGCCACATCGTTCCACCGAGGGATGAAGAGATGATTAAAGGTAAAAAAAAAAAAAAAAAATAAAAAAACGAGAGAGAAAAGAGATCGGTTTCCCATTCTGTCGTTATTTTCCCTAAAATTCTACCTCTCCGTTGTAAAATTATCGGATGAGGTCGGATGTTTCGTCCTGAGATCATGTCGAATATCTTGATTACGCTTTACGACGATCGGTTGTATTATATCGTACGAGATGTTTCGTAGAAATGATATGAAATAACGAACAATGGAATGATATAAACAATATTGGTTTTATGTTTTGTGGGTGTAATTAACAGCAGTGGCTCAATGATGTATCTATTTATATATCGTTTTTTCATTTGCATTCGTAACATCTGTCATCCTCCTGTTATAATGTTAATTATAGATATATATATATATATATATATTTCCATGTCATTGTATCATGAAAAAAAAATGTTCATTTATAACGATTATCAATATTCTTCCATATATTTGAAACGAGAGATTTATAATATCGATTAGAATTTTTTTATTTTTTTCGAAACGAAAAGAAAGGTTAAGATACTTTTTTTTTTAATAAAGGAATAAGATCTGTCCCGATTTATATTCATTCCAATCAACGATATATACGCTAAAGCAATCAATCTAAACATCGTCGAACAATTTCTTCTCCCCCTCGACACCGATGCAATTACTCTCATAGTAGATGTTTAAGCGTTATCGATTTCAGCTATTGGTTTATCGGTATTTGTGTTAAGCGAACGCACACTTGGGATACATTTTGAAAATCAATTCTCCCCGAAATTGGAATTTCGTTATTTTATAAAAAAAAAAAAAAAAAATCAAATATTGCGTTTAATTCGTCTTAATATATTTTATCTCTTATTCAGTATTTTATTTTTATCTTTAACCGTTGGATATTCATCGACAGTTATCGTTAATTAAGAATTTTACCGGAAATATTAACTGGTAAATAGAAGATTGAATATTTATCATTCCATTTTTTTTTCTTCTTCTCTTCTTTCTTCTTCTTTTTCTTCACTTCAGTTATGTATACGCTTTATTAAATCTCCTCGAATCTCGGCGCAATCTCTTACATTAATTCCCCAAACCTTTCTTCCGGTTTGTGTTTTGCTTTAATCTCAAATTTAAACGAGCCACTCTCTTTTAATAACGATACGGAACTTTGGTTCGAATTTTTCATGAAAATTCAATTTAAGTCCGCGGAAGAACTTGCGAACCCCTCTTCTGATCTTTTTTTCTTCTTCTTCTTCTTCATCTTCTTCTTACTTTAAACGAGATACCACCTCGGTTGTTTCGTTTCATTAAATACAAATAATAACGAATTAATCGTTATTTATTTTTTTTTTTCAGAATAATTCAAAGAATAATCTCGTATTTATCATTAAATACATCTTTTTCTTCGTAGGAGTAAATATAGAATTTTCACTCCTCAATTTTAACTTTACTTTTCTTTTAAATATCTTATAAATATCTTTTAGAACAAAAAGAAAGAAAAAAATGATCTATAAAATGATCTATAAAACCATCGATCAACTAGAAATAATTTCTCAAAACGTTTCTTTCTTCCACGCCAAATGGAACTCGCACTTTCCCTCCACGATTTAATTTCCATATCTCCGATCCCTAATCCCATCGATTACCAAAGGCAAAATATCATTCCTGTACAGATCTTAATCGAATATCAATCCCGTATCCCATCCGTGGCCGAGATTGCAACGGAACCGTAATTTGGCCGTGGCAATATCCGACCGACCTGTTCCTCGTTTAATCATTTTCATCGCGATGAAATTGTTGCGGTGATACGGCAAGAAAGCCGGGCCCCACGGTTTTCAGGTATCAATTAGACCCGTGTCCCGCGTAGAAATTAGAATTTTCGGTATAATGGCGGTATATAACGACCATTCCAGAGGTAATTTTAACGTGATCATCGATGTAATTACCAGGACACAGGGTGGATAAAGGAGTCGCGGTTTACGCTCTCTTTCTCGATGCATTATTCATTACGGGGGGAGGGAGGGTTGGGGGTTAGCTAAATTCAAAGGCTTCTCGAAGGAACCGTTGGTAATTTTACCATCGAACATGCTTCGTGTTGTACGAATTCCGAAACAATATACAGGACGTGTGATCTATTTCGAAAATTTGAAAATTTCAACGTGGTGAATTTCGAAATAATACAGTGTGCATTTGAAAACGTGGAAAATTCTTTTTTTTTTTTTTTTTATCAATGTTAATTTCGTAATTACGCTTGGTGTGAATTTCGAATATAGGGTGCGTTTGGAAACGTGGAAAATTCCTTTTTTTATTGTCAATGTTAATTTCGTAATTGAATACGCTTAGTGAATTTCGAATATATATGCGTTTGGAAAATTTCTTTTTTTTTTTTATCAATGTTAATTTCGTAATTGAATACGCTTGGTGTGAATTTCGAATGTAGGATGCGTTTGGAAACG